ATGACTTTCCATCCGTATCTTTAAACATGACTTTCCATCCGTATCCCTAAACATGACTTTCCATCCGTATCCCTATTCATGACTTTCCATCCGTATCCCTAAACATGACTTTCCATTCGTATCCCTAAACATGACTTTCCATCCGTATCCCTTAACATGACTTTCCATCCGTATCCCTAAACATTACTTTCCATCCGTATCCCTAATCATGACTTTCCATCCGGATCTTTAAACATGACTTTCCATCTGTATCCCTAAGCATGACTTTCCATCCGTATCCCTAATCATGACTTTCCATCCGGATCCCTAAACATGACTTTCCATCCGTATCCCTAATCATGACTTTCCATCTGTATCCCTAATCATGACTTTCCATCCGGATCCCTAAACATGACTTTCCATCTGTATCCCTAAGCATGACTTTCCATCCGGATCCCTATCATGACTTTCCATCCATATCCCTAAGCATGACTTTCCATCCGGATCCCTAAACATGACTTTCCATCCGTATCCCTAAGCATGACTTTCCATCCGTATCCCTAATCATGACTTTCCATCCGGATCCCTAAACATGACTTTCCATCCGTATCCCTAAACATGACTTTCCATCCGTATCCCTAAACATGACTTTCCATCCGTATCCCTAATCATGACTTTCCATCCGGATCCCTAAGCATGACTTTAAATCCACAGCCTTAATCATGACTTTGACTGCACATACCTAATCATAACTTTGAATCCACGGTCCTATCGCAATGGCTCGTAATCAACAGTAAAATATCAAATTTAATTTTTTGTAAACAAACATTATCAGTTTAACACAAAAAGAAAGAAGGAATGAAATCACTTACATTTTCTTTTTTTTTAAACACATTTCGAAAGAATTGACTTTTAACATTGATATTTATTGCAATATATATTTTTCCTTTGGAAAGCTTTTTTTTTTTGGTATAATCCTTCAGGTTTTCATCTACCCTGTGTATTTATTTTATTGCTTTAACCTGAAATGAGTCTTCCCAGTATTACTCAGTATTGATAATATGGTTGGTACAGTTTCTATTTTAATTCAAATAGCATTATTGTTGTCGTTAAACAAGAAGTTGTCATTCCTGCGTGTTTGAGTCTAGATAACGGAGGGGAAAAAGGACATTTTCATTTTCCCACTGGGAAACACTAATTCAAACAAGGAACCTGAAGCCAATTGTTACCCGACATTGCCATAGAATGGGATGGTGTTCTAGAGATTAGATTAGTGCGCAGGAAACAAATTGATGTCCCCTGTTCGTCAGGTGGACTGTGATTGTAATGCATCATTTCAGCGACACAGTGATTCAGTGATTGATGTGCTAAAAACCGCACACGTCGTTCTCTTTACATAAGCTGGCTGCATATGAACTCCGACAAATGAAAGATTTCAAAACATAATTTTACTAAGACCCAATACATATCTACATTTATATAAGGGCAGGTAATGGGTCTAGTGGTTCTAGGAGCTGTAAGACCTGCACTTAACAATATTCACACTCAGCAAATTGACCTATCTAAGGTTTCTATTCGAATAAAGTATAGATTCTTTTGCATCACATTTGTTTTGGTTTGCTCATTCCCCACAAACATGTGTTGTTGTTGTTGTTGTTGTCCGTAAGTTTTTTTCTAAAAGATTATCAGATTTTCGCAGGAAACGATTCGCTCTGATCTTCGATAACCTCATCAACGACCTAATGATGTAATTAATTCATTTTTTTTTACCGTTCACATGTAAGTTACTTTAATTTGTCTTTGATGTCTTCCTTTGTTTGTCGCTAGATTTATCTAAATACCAGGTCATGTGTTTATTAGTCAACGACTCACTTCTGACTTCTTGTATGGCTGATTTTCTCCACATTCTCTCCATCCAGTTTGTCACATTGAACAATTTTAATCTCATTGTACCGATTGACGTTGGATAATCAGGGTCATTTTTCATTTTTTTTTAAAAATTAACTAGTGATTTAAAAAATTCAAAAAAAAAAAAAATGATACATTTAAGTCAAAACCATTTCTCTTTTTGTATTGCTGATTTTCTCCACATTCTCTCCATCCATTTTGTCACATTGAACAATTTTAATCTCTTTGTACCGATTGACGTTGGATAATCAGGGTTATTTTTCTTTTTTTTTTTAAAAATTAACTAGTGATTTAAAAAATTCAAAAAAAAAAAAAAATGATACATTTAAGTCAAAACCATTTCCTGATCACGTGATATGTTAAATTACTTGATCTGTTTTTTTTTCTCAAGGCTTGTTAACTTTCAAGTAAGTGAGTCAATATTATCTCTGATCTCATTTATTCTCCTCGATTTATTATTTCGTTAAATGGTTGAGAAGCACAGTGCTCTATATTCCCACATCCGGGAATTTCATGCCCAGAAATATTAACCCCAGTTGTCTTATTATGTATATATTTTTTTTAAAAATTGGGATAATATCATGCTGTAGTTTTTTTTAAATATTTTATTTGCTCTATATCCTAATCAGTTATGGCTTCAGATATCATTCAAAATTTACTATTAACATAAAATAAAATGATTTTTTTTAAAATCTCTGTAATAAGTGTATTTAATATTGAATAGTAGGATACGTAAATCCCATCAAAACTGGTCATCGTTATTCCTCACCTGTGCGCCACAACTACTAAAATGCTTGCACAGAACTGTGGATTGAATGGTTGAATGTGTTTTTTCCCCCAACGAATCATCCGCAATTTGTTAGAGAGAAAATAGGTCCCTCATAGAGACCGACCGAAAGTGATTTTCTGATTTCGGCCGAAGCCGAAAATAGGCCGAAAGTTTAATATGACTTTCGGCCGAAACCGAAAAAAGGCCGAAAGTTTAAAAATGAATTTCGGCCGAAACCGAAAAAATACCGAAAGTTAAAAATGAATTTCGGCCGAAACCGAAGCCGAAACCGAAAATGAAATATTAAGATATTTTGAAATTCGTTCCCGCATACATTCTGCTTAAATGATGTGGGAAAATATAAATATTTACATTCTTTTTATAAAAATGAGATAATCTTAAATATTAATAAATAAAAATCTAATTTAGGGTTCTCAAACTCGCGGCCAGCGAGCCATTTGTGACCCGCAAGA